GGGAAGCAGATGCCCCGAAGCCTGCTAAGGAGAAAAAGAGAAAGAAGAAATCACCAGCTGAGTCTTCGAAGCCGAAAAAGGCTAAGGTTCAAAAGCCCGAGGCCGATTCAGTGGCTTTAACTCGGGAAGTCACCGAAGGTCTTTGCGCTGAGGGCGAAGAGAGCGATGACTACCCGTTGGCACTTAGAGGGAGAAGAAGTGTTGTTGCCTCGAAGTCTGCTGAGCCGAAGGTGGCTGAGTCGGAGGCTGCCGAGGTGGTCCCGACCCGAGATGGGGGGATTATTGAGGGGTATTTGGACAAAGTCCCCAAACCGACCAACGATCTAAGCACATTGGGTGCCGAGGGGCACCTGTTTGATGAACCCAAAGAAACCAATAATGAAGCCCCTCGAAGGGGGGAGAGGGCCCCTGTCGAACCGGTCGAGATGATCAACGCAGGTGAGCCTCAGTCGTACCCATCATTCTCTCCTGGGCAAATACGGGATGCCCGAGATATGAAAACTCCCGTCGTGGGGACATGAGAATAGTACGTTTGAAGGATATTTTGATGGGGTTGAGGAAGGCCCCGATATCGACGCCTCATTGATCTTTGAGGAATCCGAGAAGCTTCGGCAATAGGTAATCTTGACTTTGACCGTTGTATATTGAGTTTCGATTCTTGTATTTTCGAGTCTCTTCTTCTGTGTCTTCAGGCCTTAAAGCTCTCTCACCAAGCCTTTTCCAAGTCACAAGCAGAGTTGGCTATATGTGAGGACGAATTTAGGAAGCTCATTTATGAATTGGACGAACTTAAGGCCCTTTATGCCCAAAAGGAAGGGGAGCTAGGTGACCTTCGAGCACATTTGGAGAGGATGTCTTGAGAGCGGGCCGATCTCGATGAGCAGTTAATATGACCTTCGTGAGCTTACTTTTGTGCTCTAGCCAATCCAACGCTAAATACCTTGCTTTGATTCTTTCAGCTTAAGCAAAAAGATGATCTAATGCGAGAGGAGCTTAAAATCAGAGATACTGAAATCCTTGGGCTGAAGCAGCGTATGGATGAAGTGTCCTCCGATAAAGAAGCCCTCCGAGAGAGGCTGATCTCGGTTGAGCATCAACTCCTCGGTAGAAATAGATGAAGATACGGTTTTGGCACGGTTTCGACCTCGGCATAATGTGCGCATGTTGTTATGTGGGATTCATCCATGATTTACTCTGTTTAAATGTTTTGAAATGTAAATTAGTATATGACACGACTATAATTGATATATTATTTCTCCTTGCTATGAGACTGTCATATTATTCATGTTATCCATGCTTAGCGTAAGCCTTAAATATTATTGATATTGACCTTAGTAAGTGTCAAGTCGACCCCTCATCACTACTTCTTCGAGGTTATACTGGATACTTGCTGGATACATGTTGTTTATGTACTCATACTACGCTTCTGTACTTAACTGTACAGGATCTGAGGCAGGTGCATCTGGTTACCCCTCCGGCGCACGTTCCTGATTCCTTATCGAGATCCCACGGTGAGCTGCCCCCTTCTCAGCCATTCAGCAGCATACCAGAGTTCTCTTCTTTTGTTGTTGTTATGTACTGTCTATTCTGTTTCAGGTAGTCGGATAGTAATATTTTTGTACATTCTACTAGTTTCCCTAGTACTTGTGACACTAGTTCCTGGCACACACCGTAGACTATTATTTTGGGATGTATTTACATTATTACGAACTTGTTAATTATTGACTGTTTAAAAGCTTAACTGTTAAGAAAATGTTGGGGTTTTGGTAAAATGATGAGAACACATTAGTTGAATTAGGGTTGGCTTGTCTGACAACGGTGTCGGGCGCCATCACGACCTACGATGAAATTTGGGTCATGACAGAAACAGAGAAAAGTTAGGCTGAGTAGTCGCCTAGTCATGGAATCCACTTCTTTGAATGTGAATGGAACAGGAAACAACAAATTCAGAACCAATTATGCTCTACAAGGCAACACTGCAGGACACAACTCGTATAAGCCTAATTTTCTCTCTATTAGATCTAGATTGTATTGTGACTATTGCAAAAAGCCGGGACACACCAGGGAGAAGTGCTATAGGCTACATGGATTTCCATAAGACTTCAAGTTTACAAAGGGTAGAAACACAGGATCTGCTGCAAATGTCCATGGTGTTTTTAGATGCAAGCTTGAAATAGTGGAGATGCTAAAAGCAGGAACCACAACCAAAATTTTCAGAACCTGACAAAGAAACAATACAACTAGTTGCTAAATTTGCTGGAGAACTTTAAGACTAGCAATGCAGGGGAAAACTCAAACATCATCACCAGTTTAGTTGTGAACTTTGCTGGTATTCTAGCTTGCTCTACTTATAAAGAGATAGATGAAACAACTACATGTAAATGTTCAAATTCAATTGCTGACCTATAGATTTTTGACAGTGGAGCTTCAAACCATATGACATATAGAAAATCTTTTCTCACTAATATTAGAATATTACCTTATCCCTTCCTTATCACCTTACCTAATGGATATGGGGTGAAAGTAACAGAAATTGGTGATGTTTTTCTCAGTCCTAGACTAACTATGTTAGAGTTCTACATGTACCTAGCTTCAAATACAATCTTTTTTCAATTCACTCATTAAAAGTGCATCTTGATTGCATGGTTAATTTCAATAAATATCTTTGTCTAATGCAGGCCCCTTCAATGAAGAGGCCTCTGGAGATTGGTAAGGCAAGGAGTGAGTTGTATTTTCTTTGTTCAAAGTGTCATAATTGCTCAGAGTTGAGTCCACCTTCTACTTCAATTTCTAGTTTGCCTCATTCATGTTTTCTATTCCTTCCATTCCTAAAAACAATATTAGCAAGAACAAGGATCAAGCTCATCCATTTCATTCATTGTCAACTGTAAATAAGTCATCTCATCCATTAACAATGTAAATAGTATCCATTCAGGCAATAAACCTGATCCTTTTACTGTGAATTCTTATCTTGTATGTTCTGCATTCTGAAAATAATGTTGACTACTTGTGGCATAATAGGCTAGGTCATGTACTCTTTGTAAAAATGAGAAAAATATCTACTATACCAGCTAATTTGCTCCTAAACAACCATTTATTTGTTCAATCTGCCATATGGCTAGACAGACAAGGCTACCATTCTCAGAGAGGACTACCTCATCCACCAAAATTCTTGAATTATTCCATGTAGACCTATGGGGCCCCTACCACATATCCACACATGATAATTACATATACTACCTTGCCATGGTTGATGATTTTAGTAGGTCAACCTTGACTTACCTCTTAAGCTGCAAGCAACACATTTCATGCCATTAAAGCATTTCTGTCTATGATTGAAAATTGGTAAGGTACTTCAGTTAAGACCATTAGATTTGATAATGCTCCAGAATTTGTCAATAATGAAACCATGACATACTTCCAAGAAAAAGGCATAGTACATCAGAAAACTTGTCCATACACACCACAACAAAATGGTATGGTGGAAAGAAAACACAAATACTTACTGAAATAGCAAGGGCCTTACTTTACCAGTCCAAACTACCTATAAGGTACTGGGGGGTGGGTGTATTCTAACAACCACCTACCTGATAAACAAACTCCCATCCACTATTCTTAATAACAAAAGCCATTTTGAACTCCTGTACAACAAAAAGTCCAAATATTCACAACTTAAGAGTTTTGGTTGCTTATGCTACCCATGTACACTAAAGACTCACAAAGGCAAATTTGAACCAAGAGCCACACCCCATATGTTTGTAGGTTTTCCCTTTGGTACAAAGGGTTACAAGGCCCTAGACTTGGCCACAAAGAGAATACATATATATAGAGAGATGTAGTGTTTTATAATATTTTTCTTTTTGCAATTTTACCTGAACATTCTAGCTTTCTTTTTGTATTGTATCTGATGAATACTTCTGGGACTTCAAATGATTGTAGCATATATGATAAGGATGTATCAATTTATGTCACTAGTAGACCTGTATCAAATAATGTTGCACCTCTTTCTCCACCTAGTTCAACAACACCTAATCAAGATATGTCAAGTTCACACATGTCTTCAGAAACCAGCCCTGTTTCTCAGTCATCCACACAGGCGCAGTCCATTGAGTCTCAAGTCATTGAGTCTAACATTCTTCAAACAAATCCCTCAGAACCTAGAAGATCAGGCAGAACACATAACACTCCTGCACACCTCAAAAACTCTGTGTACTCTTTGCCAAACCTTCAGCATTATGTCACAGAACCTGGATACCACACTATTCCCACACCATTCAATGCATTTTGCAGCAACAAACAACATGTTTCTTTCAATGTCTTACATCTTAAAAGTCAGCAATTACTTAGAAACATTTCACATGATTGTGAGCCATCTTCTTAAGAGGAGGCATCTATGAATCCTGCATGGTAAATGGCAATGACACATGAATTTGAAGCTTTATATGCTAACCATACGTGAGATCTAGTTGAATTACCTGCAGGAAAGAAAGTTATAGGATGTAAATAGGTATACAAGATCAAACACAAGGCAGATGAAAGTGTAGAAAGATTCAAGGCATGACTTGTAGTGAAAGGATACACACAAGAAGCAGAAATTGATTATACATAAACCTTTTCACCAGTGGTGAAGATTACCATAGTCGGAACACTAATCAGCATTGTAGTAAAGAGAGGATGAGATCTTTATCAACTAGTTGTAAACAATGCATTTCTTCATGGGGATCTACATGAAGATATGCACATGGAAGTTCCACAAGGTCTAATGGTACCTAATGGAAACCTAGTGTGCAAACTTAGGAAGTCATTATATGGTTCAAAACAAGCTAGCAGACGATGGTATGACAAGTTGACAGAATCCCAACATTCTAGAGGTTTCAAACATCCAGCTAGTGATTACTCCTTTTTTTTACAAGAAACGGGGGAACTCAGTAGTTTTTGTGGCTGTATATGTAGGTGATGTGATTCTTACTGGCACCAACTTGGAGGAAATCACATAATTGATGGCATTCCTGCTTAATCAATTTAGGATAAAGGATCTTGGTAAATTACACTACTTCTTGGGGCAAGAGATGTTGTACAAGTCGGATGGAGTACTGATTTGTCAGAGAAAATTCACTATGGACATACTAAAGGAGTATGATTGCTTTGCATACTCTACTGTTAGCTCTCCACTTGATTCTACTATTAAACTGAGGAGTGAAGAAGGAACCTTGTTGGGTATACAGGAAGCTAGTTGAAAAATTAAATTTCCTAACAAATACAAGACTGAATATAGCCTATAGTGTACAACATTTGAGCCAATGTATGCAGGCACCTAGGGAACCTCATCTAAAGGCTGCTATACATGTTCTTAGATACTTAAAGAAAGATCTTACTTTGGGAATATTTCTGTCCAATGATCCCAGCTATGCTATCAGTGCATATTGTGGCTCGGATTGGGCTGCTTGCCCTGATTCTAGGAAATCTGTGAGTGGGTACATTGTGCTGCTTGGGGACATCCCTATTAGTTGGAAGTCAAAGAAACAAACCATTGTCTCATTGTCTTCTACAGAAGCAGAGTATGGGCCAATCAGGAAAGTTGTTGGTGAATTGATATGGATAAAGAGATTGCTAGAAGAACTCATAGTTATGTGCACCAATCCCATACCTGTGTTTTGCTACAGTTAAGCAGTTGTTCATATTGCAAAGAACCCTGTATTCCACGATAGGATAAAACATATCAAAGTGGATTGCCACTTTGTGCGAGACAAGATACAAGATGGGTTAATTACACTACATCATATTTCCAGCTATGCTCATTGGTTGTCATCTTGATAAAGGCATTTACAAGGGTTAAACACTCTAATCTTCTCAGCAAGTTGGCAGTGAGTCCCTCACATCCAACTTGAGGGGGGTATTGAGAATGGTTGATGTAATACTTATGTGTATCTTAGTTGTGTAGTTGGTTAGTAGTCAATATTGGTCAATATAGTTGAATTAGTTAGAGTGGCAGTTTTGTAATTAGGATATTTTTTCTTACACTCCTACACACGTTTATATATATAGTTTGTAGAAATGGAAATAATACTTAAGTTCATTTTCCCCAATTCCTCTGTCATCTAGAACTTTCTCTCACAAGCTCAGCTTAGCTCATCAATGGAGATACTTCGATGGTTCTGATCTCCAATTTCGACACCTACTACCTAGTAGAAGGTTGTTACTACGTTCTAGATTCCAACAACTCGATTTGTCACGGCTCCAGTGTCATTCTCTTGACACTTGCTTTGCGGACGTCGGATATCTTTGGATTCACGTCATTGTCTAACAAAATGTTGTTAGCTTTTAGGTCTTTGTGAAGTATCCTCAGTTGAGAACCAACCTTGATGCAGATGCATAAGTCCCTGAACTGTTCTACTGATAATTTCGAATGCCTTAGGCCACTCTAATACCTTTCTTTGTGCGTCATTTACCAAAACTTTGTTTGGTCGTGGACAAACTAAGTAGTATCAAAATATAAAACTAAATTAGTCTCTTGCCTTGTTGGGAGAAAAATACTTGTTTGAGCTGCCAAATATGTTACTATTAGGTTCTTCTACAACCGTGTTCTTAGTTCTCTCTCATTACAAGTTTATTTCCTGCTTGATGGCGCTTTAGAAATTGGAAGAAGATCAGTGAGGTATTCCTATAGGCATCAGTTCACTGAAATGCAATTTTTATTCAATTTGCACAATATTGGATGGAGAAATTGTACCGAGAATATAAATTAACCAAGACTCCCGGATTATTGTTGGAAAGTACTCATTGATCAATACTATGCATATGTTGGGGCTGCAAAAGATGGTTTATAGTCCTGCACAATGGAGGGGTGGGCATGGAAGGTGCTTTATTTGAGGTTGTACTAAAGGAGGTGAAATTGAAGGATGGATACTATGTAACTAACCCTATTAAAGCTGTAGAGATGGTAGACGAGAGAATACGATATCTGTTACCTTTCATCTGATCAACACACTTTTACTCTGAACTCATCTTAAGTAATGCTTCATTGCTCACAAGCATTTTCTTTTTTGACATTTCTATGTTTGAGATCTCATTTGAAGTTAGCATCAATCCTACTGGTACTGCAGAGTAGCTATGGAAATCTAATTAGTTTTCGGTTGATATTTGTGAATAGAAATGTTCCTTTTAAGGTCATAAACCTGCCATTCACATCTTTCACCATGAAACTTTTGCAACTAGTAAGATGCCCGAGATTCAGTGAACGAGCTCTCCAAAGGGTTAGTGAAACTCAAGGAATAAATCTTCTGAGGTTAGTATTTTGACATTACTAGAGATGACATTTAAATAGCTTTAATAGAAAAATACATCAATGGAACTGATCAAGGATTTGTATCTGAATAGATGTTAACTTTACACAATGATGAGCAAACTTTACAAAGTAGTTACTGTTGGAATCTCATCTATGAAGCCTCAGTTACCTACTTCTTCTTTCACTTCTCATAAGAAAGAAGACCAGTAGACTATGAAGAGGAAAGAGGCATATGGATTTGGGGATAGGGTCCAGAAAGAGAAAAATGGTCCAAATGTTGAAGACCCAAGCCCAACTTCTGATTCTGGACAAGGGACACGTGGGAAAACCAAAGCTGTTAGATTGAAAGCTGATGAGGACCATAATAGCCGTCCGATTTGAAACAAAAGATAGTTGTAATACAAATGTAGATATGCCTAATGGTATACAAATATTGTACAAGTTATACATAGTACATAGCTGTAATTTGTTTGTTATTTAATAGCCAATAGGTAGTAGGCAAGTGTAGATTTTTCTTTTGCTCTCATCTGTTATAATACTTGTATAAATACCAGAGTTTTACATCAATAAGACACACAGAAAAATTCTCCCAAATTTTGTCTTTCAATCTCTACATGGAATCAGAGCAATAGCTCAAAAGAATCGATCCTCTAGTTTTTTTTTCATCGGTTCATTTTAATCTTCACTCTACTATCTTCAATGGGTTTTACTCCTGAAACAAGGCAAAATGGCCTCCGGGCCACGCAAACTTGCATCCATTTTTCAACCCGGTAAAGGAACTTACACGTTTCCCATTTGAACACTTCAACTCATTCATTTGCACAATTTTAAATCCTTTGATCGTTGACCATGGTTATGTGGCAGCAATGTAACTGAAGTGGCAAAAATATGTGTTAATCACGCTTGTGAAGCGCGTGTATACAATGAATATGAGAGAGAAAAATACTAAAATTACAAGTAAAATAAAATGAAGTAAAGCAAAAGATTAAATTAAAAACTAAATAAGGAAAAAGGAATTTCCAGAACCCCCCTTTCTACGCCGTCATCTCTATCTCATTCCTTCATCTTCTCCAGAATTTTCATATATCCCTTTCCTCTTACTCAAACACCATATTCAAAATCACCATCATCACCTCTTTCATCACTGCTAACCCAACTACTATTTTCAACCATTAGCATCTAAAGCACACTTTTGCTATAAGATGCAAATAGATCATTAGGGGAGACGGGCGGAATAAGGATACTAGCGAATGCGAAATTAAGGAAAGAAGTATAGGGGTTGGTCGGAATAGCCATGCTGGAGATTTTTTTTATGGGTAGAGAAGGTTTGAAATTTTCCCAATCCCATAAATCACTCCGGCGAGCTTCTGATGCCGGTAAAACTTCGAATGGTGGCTAATCCATTTTCAAGGGATTCAAGATCTTTCTCAGAAGGGAATATAACAAAAAAAAATTGAATTTTGCTGAATGAGAAGGATGGTGGAAATTGATGGGAATACTCATGCAAGGCCTTCATTCACTCTTATTAATGAATTTCCTCTGATTTTTGTAATTGATTTGGGGGGGTTTTAGAGTAGAGGAAGGAGGTGTTCATGGTGGAAGGAGTTGGTGACCACCCGAAGAAGAAGAAACCAAAAATATTTCCCAAAAATTTTAATACAAATGGTTAAATAAAGATTCGGACCTATAAATTATACGTGTCAAATAATAATAGGCGAAGAAAGTGACGTTTCAATAATGTCTAAGCGATTGAGGCACACGCTCAGTTTGAGGTGCTTATTTTTTGTATTTTTATCAAGTTGAGGTTTTCAAATGGGAAACACATAAGTTCCTTTACCGGGTTGAAAAATGGGTACAAGTGTAAGTGGCTCGGAGGCCATTTTAACAGTAACAACTGAGGCCACGTCAGCGAGTGTCACCACTTCTGGAAATAATGGAGCTGGAATGAAGGACTCAAGTCATCCTTACTTCCTTCACCCCTCAGATTCACCGGGAATGAACTTGGTAAACACAAGCTTTGATGGTAGAAGCTATGTAGGGTGACGCAGGTCCATTCTTATTGCTCTTTCTGCCAAAAACAAGGTGGTGTTCATAGACGAAACCTGCCATGTAAGCTCAGAAACACCTGACTTCAAGTTATGGCGTAGGTATAATGACATGGTCATATCTTGGTTGTTGAACTCCCTTTCCAGAGAGATTGGTGAAAGTGTCATCTACTCCAAAACAACCAAAGATCTGTGGGATGATTTGGAAGACAGATTTGTTCAATCAAATGGTGCAAAAATTTATCATTTACAGAAAGAGTTGAGTGATTAGGTTCAGGGGTCAAGTGACATAGCAGGGTATTTCACTAAGATTAAGAGGCTATAGGATGAGCTAGATACCTTGAATACTCATGTCAAGTGCTCCTGTGAATATAGTTGTGGAGAAAAGATAAAAATGGCCAAATCACTTCAGGATGAGAGGTTAATTAAGTTTCTCATGGGGTTAAATGACACCTATGCCTCAGTGAAGAACAGTATCTTGATGTTGTCATCCAACTGCGGGATATGCCTATTCCCTATTGATGCAAGATGAGAAGCAAAGGGAAGCTTATGTCAACTCTCAATTCCCTGGAGATTCTTCATCCATCATGGATGCAAGTCAAAATCATCCAAGTCAGAAGTTTGGAAACTCTGATTTCAAGGGAAAGAAAAATAATTTGAGCTGCTCTTACTGTAAAAAATCTGGGCATTCAGTGGACAAATGCTACAGGATCATTGGATTTCCAGCAGACTTCAAGTTCACAAGGTCAAAAAAGTTCTAAGCACCTGTTAGGAGCAATGCAGCATATTCTGTGAGTGAAGCAGGAGAGCAAAGCATTGTTGATGGAAATAATGAAAATCAACAACTCGCACAAGATCAAGTTTCTCAGCTAGTTCAACTTCTTCAACAAGTGAAGGGTGGTCAGACAATGTCTTCAAGCTCAGATGTTGTTGCAAATAATTCCAACTGTGCAGGTATAGTCTGTAATGGTTCAACTTCTAAATCTTCTTGTTTCAAAATCACCTCCTGGATATTGGATTCAGGAGCTTATGGACATATGTCTTAAGACCCTATAATTTTTTCAACAATCAGACTTCTTCCAAAATCTTTAACGGTAAATCTTCCTAATTCATATAGAATAAGGGTAACTCACATTGGAGATGTATCTATTCCTGGTAATCTGACTTTAAAAGATGTCCTATATGTGCCTTGTTTCAAATACAATCTACTTTCAGTTCAAAAAATTTGCAAACAATACAATTGTCTCTAATCTTCTCTACTAATGCATGCATGATACAGGGCCTTTCAGTATGGATCCCTCAGGGTCTTGGTGAAGCAAAAGGGGGCATCTATCTGC